TTGGGTATCAAGAGAGGATTTATCTTAAAATAAGAATATGAAGTGAAAATTTCATTATTAAATATATATTATCATTTGTACATTCATATATTTTAATATTATATTATAAAAATGTATAAACAAAGTAAAATAAACAACTTTGTACCGTTTTCGTCAGTTACTGCGTATTCCATGCGGCGGCCATATTGGCTACTTAAAATAAAATAAACGGAGATAAAAGGAACAGAAATCTATTCAAGTTAAAGTTAATTTCCACTTTCAATTCTCCTTAACTTACCTCCTTTCAACACGAAATACGATTAACGAACGAGACAATATGGCGGTTACAAGGAAGGCCATGAAGTTGGCTGCGTAATAACACAGCTTACGTATTTCCACTTGCGACGTGGTTAATTTTTGTAAATTCGGCCGCGCAAACGTCTGTCACAATTAATTTGACGCTCTTCAGAAATTCCACGTCGCTACTGGCATTTAGTTACCACGTTTCGCGTAAACGCGTCATTTCACGTGCGACACGCGGAATTCGAAACTCCCTCGGATCCCCGGCACGCATTCGCAATCACCGAATAACTCTACAAATTTTCCGCTCTTCAGTCGCAGAAGATATCTCGAGCTCGCCGCGTTTCATCTAGAATCCACCGTACACGTGCATACGAGCGTCATCCTCTGCCTCCTCCCCCCCCCACCCCCCTACTCATTCGGCGAGAAAAGAAATCTCGTCGACGCAACGTGAACCCTTTCAGTCCTAGTCTCGGGTACATTCAATTCTCGCTCGTAGCAAATCACGGTTACGTTAATTAAGCAGCATTGGAAAACCAAGAGGAGCCCGCGTGCCTCGAGAATCTTCCATATTCATTTGGTACGCGAAAAGGTCAAACACGTTTCAATGCTTTATCCAATCATCTGGCTGTTCATATTCGCAAACATATATTATTATACTGCTTATTATTGTTAACCTAGAATAGCAATTTTAAATAATGATTTTTCAAATTGTATCTTGTATTATTATTAACAACAGGAGTAGTTCTCCCTTCCTTCGATGCTCTCTTTTCTGTACTGGTTGTCCCAAAACTAGTGTAAGATATTGAAATGAGAGGTCCCTGACGTAATTTTAAACAACATTTTCCTTAGCAAAAATGTTGTCCGAGATGTGGTTGAGGAGTTATTAACAAAAAACCCTCGACCAATTAGAGCGCTCGGTTGGCGCGAGCTACGAATCGGGAGCGTTGACTCGAATCCGGACGCCCGGCCTTTGACGTGTGAACAGTCGCTCCGCTCAATACGAAGCGTTTTAAGAAAATGACGAATAATAAACTACATGAATAACAATGTAAGGAAATTAATAACAATTAATACATTTAATCGTTATTCAAATGGAATGGATGGGGAAAAGATAGATTGTTAATAGACCGGGCGTCCGAATCCGAGCCAACGCTCCTGATTGGAAGCTCACGCCAACCGAGCGCTCTAATTGGTCGAGGGTTTTTTGTTAATAACTCCTCAACCACATCTTGGACAACTTTTTTGCTAAGGAAAATGTTGTTTGAAATTACGTCGAGAACCTCCCATTTCAATATCTTACACTAGTTTTGGGACACCCTGTACGTAGCCAACTGCATTGGAAATAAAACAGCCGGCTTTTAATTTTTCACGTGGATTACTTAATAGAGCGCGCCATATTGCATGAGGAAGGACTCGAGCGAGAAGCTGACCGGAAACGCACAGTTCGAAGGGTACAGCGTCGATCTGATTTACGAGATATCAAAGATCCTCGGGTTCAATTACACGTTCCGACTGGTGCCGGACGGACGGTACGGATCCTACAACAAGAAGACGAAAGAGTGGGACGGCATGATGAAAGAACTGCTCGATCAGAAAGCGGATCTGGCGATCGCTGATTTAACCATCACGTACGATCGGGAGCAGGCTGTCGACTTCACCATGCCGTTCATGAACTTAGGTGAGGCGATCTATTTGATCTACGGGCTCTCCGGACTCGTTCGCCGTACGGACTATCGAGATCACTGCACTTTCATATATGGCATATTCAAAGACTGACGATTTTTGTAAAAGTTCGCTGTTAGAACAAGATTCATATTGGTTTTGTTGGGTCGAAAATAAATTAGAATCGAGATTCATCAGATTTTAAAATTAAGTGAAATAAAATAGAATAACGTTAATTATTATTATTATTATT